CTCTGCCTCCCGAGTGCTGGGATTAAAGGCGTGCGCCACCACCGCCCGGCTACATTAAGACTTTCTTAATTACAGTTAAATGGAGACATTTATCTTCTCCACAGTATCAGTCATCTAATGGCAAGGTGTACTGGTCTTTTCCACTTGTTTTCTGTACAGACAGATCTTTGTATCAATGAAAGCTAACAGCCTTCTTAATATTAATTCATCAATGAATGTATTTGGTTTTTCTGGTGTGGCAAAATAGGTCCATGAATGAAGCTGTGTGAAGAGAATTCTGAGCGCTTGTGAGAAAACTCCAAGAAGACAAGAGTCTTGTAACCTTTGGTCCTCCATAACATGGGTTGTTCTTGGAATGTTTTCGCACCCCTCCCAGATGTAACAATAAGAGTGGATTTCACTTTAGATCACCCATCATCTTATCCATTATTATACAGATGATGTTTCCAAGCACAGGTTGCCCTCTTGACTACATTCAGCCTAAACTCGTATGATTTACTCCTGTGACTGTATACAACTTGAACTCAAGTGAACTTTGCTCACATAACCTTGCTCTACCCTCAGAATATAAACTGCTTGATGGCCTAAATAAAGCTGCCTATTGCATGAGACTTTAATCCACCTCATTTTTAGGCTCCATTCTCCAGGTTTACACCACCAACTAGAGCTGCAGTACTGGTGCAGCTACTTGGAAGAGATGTGAGGGAAGAAAAACACAAGGAAACTGCTAGGCTACAGGAAACAACTCTCTTCTTGGGGAGGAAGATGCTACTGTAAATAAGGTTCTGTGTGACTGCAGGTACTTACCTCTTACGTGTCTATGGAGAATAGAAAGCCATTGCTGTGATTCCCCCTCCCTGTTCAAGTAACCACTTTTAGAAAGACACCCACTTTCTAATTGGGCCTCTTACCTTCAGGAAGGGTTCTGAAAACCTCTAGCACAGGGCCTGCTCCACTCTATTCCCCATCTCCCCCCTTTCTCCTTTCTGGCTTCTGTTCATTTTTAGCCCTGCCCATTCCAGATCCCACCAATACAAGTTTGCATAATTTACCTTGTGTCTATCATGGTGTAGTTATTAAGAAAGTTATACATCCTTAAAGAACTCACCTTAGAGAAATTACCTTTAAGATGAAAAGACCCCCCTTCATGTATATCGTGTCAGATTCTTAGCCACAGAATCCCATAAACTTCCTACATATTCTTTTTGAGGTAATTTAGGCTGGATTTCAATTGCTTTAGGCAGTTCTTTATTTTGTTTTTTTTTTTTTTCGAGACAGGGTTTCTCTGCTAGTTTTGGTGCCTGTCCTGGATCTCACTCTGTAGACCAGGCTGGCCTCGAACTCACAGAGATTGGCCTGGCTCTGCCTCCTGATTGCTGGGATTAAAGGCGTGTGCCACCGCTGCCCGGGTAGGCAGTTCTTATACATATAATCTGTGCATAATGTCCTGTCTTTAATTTTACCAAAACTAAAGTGTGTTCTATTGTTTAGGTGCTTGTGATTTTGTAGGATTTCCTTGAAACAGATAAATACAGTAAGAAGTATAGTACAATATACCAAAAGAATGCAGGAAGCATGGCTTTATACATTTATACCATTCCTTTATGTTCCATGGAGGTTTTTAGACATCCTGCAAAGGCTTAAACATAAATGGGGAAGTAACTGTCATTTCTAATGAGCAGGCAAAAAAAGCTATTTTTACTTCCTTTTGTATGGTTTGATATGTTAATATCAGATTATTAAAATTACATTCTCTCAAAAACAAAGTATAATACAATGTTAAAGTCTTCTAATTGCTTTTCAAACTTCAATATGTATGTGACTCACCCAAAAATCTTATAAACAGCAGATTTTAATTCAGTGTATATGTGAGGCCCAAGATTCTGCATTTCTAACAAGTTCTCAAATAATGCTGCTATTAATACACTATGGACCACACTTTAGGGAGGAATAAGCAATAAACTGCTTCGTATAGTTTTTACTTTGCTTTTACTCTTAAAGTGATTAAATAACAACTTTGCTAAAAGCAGAGTAACATCTGAATATTACAATCTTATGTAATGTCCACAACAACCCCATAAGACACCACCTCTATTAACAATGTACACCTGTACATACTGCTTTATGCTTCCTAGTCAAGTCTCACATCTTCCCTGCAAATATTCACAGACAGCAAAACAAAAATAAACATTTGATTAACTTAGGTTCAAATAACTTTTTCTAAGAAGATGAGCTACTGGACACAGGGCCTGGGAACTGAACCTGTGGTTCCTCTGAAGACTACCAAGTACTTTTAACTGCTAAGTTATCTCTCCAGTCCCAATTTAACTTAAAAAAAAAAAAAAACAAAAAAAAACAAAAACAAACAAACAAAAAAAAAAACACTTTATTAAATTTATTTTATCTGTTATTTAAATTAACTCACAATAAAAGCATCACACAGCTAGTTTAAGGGAGCCACTCAAATACTTGTTCCATTTTAAAAGCTCACAGTGAAGTTCTATACAGCTAGACTGACCACCTGTGGAGTTTTCCATATAGTTTTACACTTCATATCAATGACATTTTTATTTATTCATCTGTTTTCCATTAAAATAAGATTTAGGTTTCTGATATTTATTCTAAACACATAACATGGAATTTTGTTTACTCTACCCAGAGTAACATTCATTACTCATTTGATTTTTTCAGTAAGTGTAATAACAAGGTTTATAGTGTTCCGAAGCTTATACTTACCCTGGGTTTAAGAGGTTTGACTGTGGGAATATCAGTGCCTTCAGCTCTCTGCCTGCTGGAATCAAAAGTCTTCCTTTTTTTAGTGGCAGTTTTCTGGCAAATGGGTCCATGCTTTTTCTGTTAAAATGAAGAAATGCAGCATAATATTTTCTTTTCTACAGAAGAGAAGACCGCAAAACTAAAAATTCAGTCCAGCTTATACACCACATTAAAAAACCCAGAAGGAAACAGTTCTATCTTTCCTTAATTAAGCTTTAAAACACACACACACACACATACACACACACACACACACACACACACACACACACACACACACACCCTACCTACCTTTCAGGAAACTAAAGAAATGCTATCCTAAAATTTCATCAAAAGTCACTTAATATTCCAGTTTTCACTGTTGCTAAGAATAAGCAATAATGAAACAATTCAAAGATACTTCAGTGAAAAGTCCTTAGTAAACACAAAACATAAACATGAGAAAAACCATGTAAGGGGAGACTGATTCAGTCTCAGGGTTACAAAAGTTACCCCACTGGTAGTTGGATTACATACGGTAACATAAAAATAGATTAATACAACACTAACCCAAAATAACGAGCGGAGTGGTCAGATTTGTGTCCTTCCCATACAATTATCCCTTTTCTCCTAGAATTCAAAACTTTTTCCTCCATCTAGAACTCAAGCTTGCTTTCTTCATCTAAGACTTTTCTTGTAGTATGTAAACATCTGCATCTAAATTGTTTTGTTAATAAATGCTAACTCATTTGTTCATTTTAAGCACACACAGTTAAACTTATCTCAGCTAATCTCCAAATAACCAGTTCTCTAAAAAAACAAAATTCTCCCTCTACTACAGAAAGTTTGCTGACTGATGTCAGTGTACTGAATGCACCTTTGTTCCTTTCGTATTTCAGTAAGTGCTCATGAAATGGGCACTGGGATGTCTGTCTGAGGAAAAAAGAAAAGAATTGGCCCATTTAGTACTGAAGCCAATCATGAACCCACTGTCTATCTGTATTTGGTTTTAGCTTTATTTCAATCAACACTAGACTACAAATGCTCTTAAATAAAAAGTTTGAAGATGTACTTGTGTGTGTATGAGCATGTATGTTTAAATATGTACGTGTACCACATGCACGCCTGGTATCTACAGAGGTCAGAAGAGGTTGTAGGATCCCCTGGAAATGGAGTTATAGAGGGTTGTAAGACACCATCAATATGGGTCCAGGAAGCTGGACCTGGGTCCTTTGCAAGGGCAACAAGTGCTCTTAATTGTTGAACCATCTCTTCATCACCTAGAATGTATTTTTTAAATATCTTCTTTTTTTCTTTTTTCTCTCTTGACACAGGGTTTTACACTATAGCTCAGGCTGGCCTTAAAACTTGCAGCTATCTTCCTTCCCTGGATTTCCATGTGTTAAGATTAGAGGTACTACCCACTGCTTTTGGTTCTACTTCTCATAAATCATAAAATAATGCTAGCAGGCAACTTTCTAGCAGTCTCACATATATATGTCTGTTCTTGGAAAGTTAGCAGTATATGTCAAGGGGATGTGCTGCCTACTTAGAAATTTTATTATACAAACTGCAGTTGTTTTAAACTTTGATATCATTTAATGAAATATTTAAATCGGGAGGTATATGATTTTTGTTTTCTTCTGTAGAAACTAAGTGGCATATTTTAAAAATACTTTGTGAAGAAATTGCTGAATGTACTGACAGTATTTCTACATGATTACAAAAAAGCCATTATTTAGAAGGTATCTGTAATCAGAACATTTTCAAGCATTAATTCCTACCTATCCTTAAGAGAAGTAGCCTGCAAGATCCACAGTAGACTGTGCCAGACTCCAATTAGCAGACTGATACTTTAAAAACATTAATATTAAATTACTAGTAACTGCACATTTTATTTGAGATTAAAGAAGATACAAAGGCATGATTGTTATTCTACATATACCTGAGTAATTTTATCAATATTAATTAAACATGTTTCTATTCAATCTTTACATGATAAGCAGATGAAATTAACACATTTTTAGCTGCATTTTTATACTGTTAAAACAACAAAATCTTTGCTTTGGATGATTTCAAACACAGGAAGAAAACAGAAAGAGTGACAGTATTTATTCCTTACACTGCTCATCAATTCCTCACATTTTAGCAAATAATCCTGCTCATGCAGTACTTTTAAAGCAAATTCTAGAGATTATAACATTTTTGTTAATACAGTCTCATTTATATTCATGAAGAATTTTGCCTCAAATTTGTGTTTTGTGTTTCTAACTCATAATATTCCTACTATTCCTACAAAGCTGGAAGATTTAGTGTATAAAAGCAGAGCTCAGAAGCTCAGTCATTTTCAGAGGAAACCAATTTTCAAAGATTATCCTGTGAGTCCTCCATAACTTTTGCACAACTGTCCTCAAGCACGAAGTGATCACAGATCTACTAGGTTCCAATGCACACAGGCTAGACTCCGCCTACTCACCAGTGCCAATGGAAAGAATGTTCTTCCACAAATCTTGCAAGGCAACAGTTCTCCAACCTGGACAACACCTCCATTTTCTAAAACACAAAATAATCCAATTAAAATCTTTCACAACTCAAATTGCAAAATTTTAACTTTTAATGTTTTCTCTTAGGTCTTAGAGGTGAATTGGGAGCTCTTATTTAGAAGTTACACTTCAAAATGAGCAAAATCATCAATAAAATGGCCTAAGGCTTAGAGTGATCAGTGACCTGAAATATAACAGTACACACAAAACAATGATAATCCAAGCATAACCAAATTGATATTGTTGGAAACATAGTTTTCTTCTACTTATGTCTACTGTAAAGACAAAGCATTCAGAATCAGATCTAACTTACTAACAGCTCTAAGACATGAAGAACTATCACTTAAGAGTAGTTAATCATCCTAAGCTTATCTGGGAGCCTAGAATCAAAGGAATCCTGTTTTATTATCAACAGATAACACAAAATATAAATTCCCAAAGTTAAGATCATCTAGTTATACTGTGATCGGACTGGGAAAAAGTTAATCAATAAAAAAAGAGATCATCTAGTTATGTAACCTCCAAGTATTCTGTAAATTATTCATTTTTACACACACATATAATACTTATATTATAATCACCCATTAGACTTTTACATTGAGGTAAAATTGGTCCCAGTTAACTAAATAATAAATAGCTAGCTACAATCTTTATACCATTAAAGTAGCCTACCATGTACCATCATACAAATTTTATTGCTGAAATGATTCAAAAGAAAATAAAACTATGTTCTCTGGGGCACTACACAGCTGATTTAATAAATATTTTATTTTCTACTAAGTATTAAAACTTAAACTTAATTTTACACCTATACTTTTCTAAAAGTGAACTGCAAACCTGTAAAATTACCCACATATCTTCCTGTTGAAATTACACTGATTATGAAAGCTCTTTATGTATATAAAGAAAAATTAGAAAAAAATGTTCTGTTTAAAGTAACAAACTCCTGAAAAAAAAAATGCACAATTTGACTCCATAAAATATGTCCTTCAGTCATTAGGTGAGTCCACAGAAAAACAATATAGTGATCCAAAATAGAGCAGTCAGAAGGAACTCAAACGCAGTCACAGAAGGGCTCTTGTTCTCAGTTGCCTAGTACCCTACTGCCCTAGTTCAGGTGAACAGTGACTATTTGGAATCTCAGGTGGAGGTGAGATGTCTGGACAGTAGTAAGCTGACATTAGAAAAGCAAATCTAAGGTTCACCTGATGTTTTCCTCCCCTGGTACTGGCATTAAAACGGGTTACTTAAGAGGAACCTCACCGACTGGACTATGAAAGCTGAAGTAGTTTCCATATAGAACCTCAGTAAGTTCATTAAGACAAGAATGTCTTTAAATTAGTGAGTCAAAGTAACAGAACATGCTTAATAATATTTTAAGCTTCCTGAGTTTTCATATATTCTTTTAAATATAAAGCAATGATTTAAAAATTAAACAGTATAAATGTTAAAAAAAATTCATAGTTCACTTGCTTAAAAGCATCTTTCTTTAGTTATCTACTTATTAGGTCCATTACAAATCAAAACCTCATGATAATTTTTGAGGCAGCAGGTATGGCTTAGTGGTAGGTGCTTAGCATGCCTAAAGGCACAGGTTTAATCACGCTACACACACACATACACACACACACACACACACACACACACACACACACACACACAAGCATATGTACATTCCTTTAACAGTTAACCATTCAGAAAAAAATGAATTCACTGATATGATCTGAATGGCTATTTGAGTATCTACTGGTTACCAGACACATACTGGAGCACAATGGTGAAAAACAGAATCATTGCTCTCATAAATCCAGCACTATCCACTTATTTCTCTATTCACTCCAGGAGGATAAAATCATCTCTCATGTTTTCAATAAAAAACTTAAAACTTAATGGCTGCCATTGGTTTACCATATGATAAAATCTGATTTGGGGAATTCTCTCAAGTCATCAAATACGTTAAAAATGTTTTTAAGGAAAAAAATCACTGGCACTAAAAAAACATAAAAAGGAATATATACAGCAGAAATAATCTTAGGCTATGTGATACACTCCTACAATCCTGGCACTCTAGAGAGGCTAAGATGTGAAGATCAGGGCTTTTAAGGCCAGTTTGGCTTTCTTAGCAAGACCCTGTTTCAGAGGGGCAGGGGAAAGGCAATGTCTTAATTTTCTATTGCTGCAAATATACCATGACCAAGGCAATTTGTAAACAGTTTATTGGGGGGTTATGGTTTCAGTAGTTAAGTCCATTACTATCATGGCAGGGAGCATGGGAGCAGGCAGGTAAGCAGGGATAGTGCTGGGGCAATAGGTGAGAATGTTCATCTTAACACAACCAAAAGGTAGAGGGGAAGGGAGGGAGCAGGGGACGGAGGGGAGGAGGGAGGGAGCACACAAGCTAACTAGGAATGGCATGGACTTTGAAAAGTCAAAGCCAGCCCCCAGTGAAATGTGACTCCTCCTACAAGCAGACCACATCCTTCCCAAACAGTCCCACCAACTGGGGACAAAGTATTCAAACACATAAGCCATAGAGGCCCATCTCATTCAAACTACCACATTCCATCCCCTAACCTCCAGGGGCTTATGGCCATATCAAAATGCATTTTGTTCAACTTCAAAATTCCCCAGTCCTTCAGTCTCAGCACAGTTTAAAAGTCCAGTCTCTTCTGAGACTAAGATATTCTTTTAACGGTTACCCCTATAAAAGGAAAAAGCAAACTACATACTTCCAACATACATACTTCCAAACTACAACTTCCAAGTGACAGAGTCAATATTAGGCTGTCTTAGGATCTCTTCTAGCAATAAAACTAGTCCAAAAGCCTTCAATTTAGGGGCATTCTTAGGACCAATGAAAAAGCAGCCACATTCTTGGCTAAACTATCATAAGAATGTTCTCTACCTCAGTTGTTAATATTGTTTCCTTTGAAACCTCCTGAGCCTCCTCCATAGTCCACAGTGCTCTCAGCACCACTGTCTTCAAAACTCCTACTAGGATGGCCCATAAGCCCTCACCTTACAACATTCCATCATTTCCCTGTTTCAAGGTCCCGAAGTCTTCCGCAGGCCTTCAAACAATATGGCCAGGCCTGTCAGAGTAATAGCCCACTTCCTGGTACCAACTCCCCTCTGTTATTTCTCTATTGCTGTGAAGACATTATGACCATGGCAACTTACAGAAGAAAGTTTATTAGGGGCTTACAGTTTCAGAGGCCAAGTCTATGACAATTATGGCGGAGAGTATAGCTATAGCGGCAGGCAGGTAGTCAGGACACTGGAGCAGCAGCTGATAGCTTACATGCTGAGACAGCAACCACAAAGCAGAAAAAGCTCTAGCTGGCAATGACATGGGTCTTAAAATTTCACAGTCTACTCCTAATGACATACCTCCTCCAACAAAGTAGCCACACCTTCTAATCCTTCTTGAATAGTTCAACCAACTAGGGACCAAATGTTAAATTATATGAGCCTATGGGGGTGCCATCCTCAATTAAAGCACCACAGGTAATAACCTCAGTAAAAGGGGGGAAAGTTTTTCAAAATAAGAAAAACACAAATTTATAATTTCCTTTTGATTTACCAACACGTGCATATCAATTGATACCAAGACCTACTAAAAACTTACACAAAGTGGTTATGATAAATAAATTAGGTCTCAAAAAACAAAAGCTACATTTTGTTCTATGAAATCATTTAAAAGGTATAACAGTAATAGCAGTACAGTGCAGTAGAAAAATAACTGGAATCTGTCTTATATTATCTAACTTAAAGTTGCAGCTCTCTGGTATAAAATAAGGATATTAAGTTACATGATGCATGCGGCTCTTTTTTATCTACAACATATCAAAATATAACAAAATATCACAACTGCCTTAGTAGGAAATATGAATGGATTAACAAAACACTTCCGTCTCTTGTATTTTTTAAATTCCTCAGATATAAGAATGAATAAGCCAATGTGTATGGAAAACAAACACCTCATGTAGTATGTACTATGCTGATGAAATCACTTCCAAGTGTCCAGACAGAGAACTGAGCATGTCAACGGATCTATACCAATAAAATGCACTCTTTCTCCTTGTTAGAGGGCATCATCAGTTGAACTAGAAATAACTATGTACCTAATCATATGGATAGGCTCAGCTTAGCATCTGTCACATATGGATAATATGCATTAAATCTACCTAAAATTTACAATTAGGATGTCACATAATAAAATGCTTTACCTTACATAATACTCATACTTTCTGAGTTATGCAAACTCCACTAAGCTCTCCTCAGTGCCAAAATCTAACAAATCTTAAAGCATATAAAAATACGGAAGAGTTGACATTGAAGGGGTGAAAATTGTAGCAGAGACCAAACACGTTGGAAAAAAGCACTCAATTGGTGGAAACACGTCAATAAAGACTTTATTGTGCCACAGGTACCCTGCATGGATGGACAAATGATTCCTCCAAAAGACATGGGATATTAAATGAAAATTTCAGTGCCACATATAGTTACTGGTCATAGAAGTCCTACAGGCCCATAAACCAACAAAGATATTGCCATTGCTCTTGATTGATTGCCCACTATTACTAGATGGTGAGACCCTACTGCCAAAGACAGGACACCCTTTGGCTACAAGACATGTAGACATCAAGCTAGAACTGACCTGAAAATTTATTCCCTGGTGGCAAGCTTTCAACAGTGCAAAAGGGTGCTACGGAGGTGTCTTAGGGTTTAACTGCTGTGAGACACTATGACTATGGCAACTCTTACAAAGGGAAACATTTAGTTGGGGCTAGGTTGCAGATTCCAAAGTTTAGTCCATTATCAACCATTGTAGGAAGAAGTATGGTGGCACAGAGGCCACCATACCATACCAGCTGGACAAAGCTGAGATTTCTACATCTGGGGCAGGAGGAAGCAGGAAGAGACAGTAACAATGGGTCTGGCTTGAAACCTCAAAAAAAACGTCAAAGCCCACCCTCAGTAACACACTTCCTCCAACAAGGCAACACC